GGGGGGGGTGACAGAGAAAGAGAGAGTGAGCGAGAGAGAGAGCGCTGCAGCCAGCCAGCCAGCCAGTCAGTCGGACGCCAAGCACCCTCAGGTTCAACGTTTGCGTGACCGCTCCACATGCTGCTCGACTCCCGGTGGGCTTCTCCTTCCGTGGACCCCTCGGACACTCGGATTGAACGTAGAGGAGCTATCAACGCATTTGTCGTCTGTAAGGACAGCACACAGGTGACATAACGTTCCACCGGGACCCAGAGCCTCATTTCGGGGCACCCGAGTGCTGGATCGGGGAGCTAAATCCGTTTCATTGATGTCACCCCACATTGACCTGCCTCTGATGACACTGTCAAAAGAGATTTGCATTGCTTCAAACGCGTATCACTCGTGACATCTCCGGATGCAGCTTGGTTATCCCTTTGTCAGGTCAGAGTTGTTTTCGTGAGGTCATTCACTTTCTCTTGTCGTGTTTCTGCACCGCTTTGCTTTCGGAGCAGCCGCTGCAGCTTGACTACCGCTCCTGTGTGCGAGTGTGTGCGTGTGTGTACGCGCAACAGTGTGGGTTATTCACAGTGCTGCTATGCAGACTGGCTGGAGCCACACTTAGACCGTCACAGCTTCACTGTAGCTTGAGTGTGTGACTTTGTGTGCTCGCCCGAACTGCTTTCCCAGAGAGAAACAAAAAGAACGGGCGCCCCACGCTGAGGAAGAAAGCTATATCTCTCTCTTGCTTCATGCCGCGATAGCCGGGGACGACTCGTCTGGAATCGCATGTGTTTCACAGCTTTGTGAACGAGCGTGGCTTGTTCAGGATGCTGCTATGTAGACAGAGTGGAGCCACACGAAACCTGCTGGTAAAGTTCAAGTAACACATGACAGCGCAGCCGCTGTCAGCGCGGCGCGGCGGTGGGCTTCGCTTTTGCAACTTTCCATGCTTTAAACAAATCACAGTCTCGCTTTGATTCTTTTATGTAAATATATATATGTATATATTTGATTTGATTTTTATTTGGGTGACTGCTTTGATTGGCTGAAAAATGAAGGACCCTCATCCACTGACCAATAACTGGATCCAATCCCCCTGCAAAGACCCAGTGATTATGCCAATGCAAAGCTCTCACAAGAAGTTCAAAAGAAAATCTCGTGAGCCTAAAAAACTTTTCAGTGGATTTGAACCTGACAGGATGAAAGCATACACGGTGGACACATCGGAAGGGGACATGCTGGAGGACGCTCACGTGAAGCCTTGCAATGTCAACAGGTTGGCTCCACTCCACAGACACCTAACGGTGTCACATGAGACCAGTGCCGCCGGGGTCGTCTCAGGAGTGCCCGGCATCATGGTCGCACCGCCGCCGCAGAGCGGCGCTCTGGACATGAGGATCGGGAGCGCCATCGCTTCCAAACTTTCTCAGTTACCCACCTCTCCGTTTGCCAATCCAGAGATCATCCACTGGCCCACGGCCATATCTCAGCCGCTTTCAAACAGATTCAAACCAGGCCCCCGCTCCACCTTCCCCGTGGTGACGTCGTCCGGCAACATTCGGAGCCTTTCACCCAACCCCCCGACCTTCTCCATGGAACCATCAATGTCGGGCCAAACTACAGCTCGGCCCGTCTCTCAAACGTCTCTGAACTCTCAAGGCCACGAGCATGGAGAGCTTCAGGGTCACTCTCCCAAGGTACAATCAAAATGTTACTATACTTATCACTAGTAGAGCTGAAGTGATATATTTTCACCCCCCCTTGCTGCTAGGAGTCTTCAAGGAAGCGGATGGGAACGAGTGCAGACGGAGCCGGACGTCTGCCGGAGGTCAAAGCCATCCAGCAGACAAGGAGGCTCCTAGCAAACGCCCGTGAGAGAACCCGGGTCCACACCATCAGTGCGGCCTTTGAGGCTTTGAGGAAACAGGTGAGAGTGGGGACGCACACTGGAAGCGCACAAACAATGAACACAGATATATTCTTTTCAAAATGACTCACTCTGAAACAATTTTACGGGGGATCATTTTTGACCTCAGAAAACCTGAGATTTATTCTTCTCGATGGTCACGATTGTAACTGGGAAGATCCAAGTTTGTTTTCCTGAGCATTACATTTTGGATTTGCTCACGTACATGAAGCAAAGTATGAGTGAGTTGACTCGGCAGCCAGGCTGGGCAAAGAGACGCCATTTTAAAGCGACAGTTGGACTCCATTGAAGTACTATCACGTCGAAGCTAAGCAGTGCTGCAGTGTTTTAGATGAGCAGTATACAGTGTACTTGATTGCTCGATTATGGACTGGGTGGGGCGAGTTTATTTTGTGTTTCGTGACACTGAATTGACTGTGTAAAAATTTAGCGGCTTGGTTAGAATCCGACAGCTGCGGCTTTGCACGTGTCCCGATTGTGTTCGTATGTACTGCTCTGACTGCAGCCGGGAAGGAGTCTTGAGTCTCCAAAAGCCCCAGAAAAATACGTTTACGTGATACGTTTGCGATTAGTCGCTTTCTGGAAAAATACTCACCACTGTATACTTGTCAAATATATATAGCAGCAAAATATGTCGACCACACATCTTGCATGAGATTGCACCGCCCCCACTTAAAAAAAAAAAAAAAAAAAAAAATGCTGCTTTCATCAGGAATGACCTAAAACCTTTCCGAGGTGTGCATGAGCCTTGGAAGAAATGCAGATCTTGATAAAGGCAATAAATCTTGCAAACAGGAGTCATGCAAATAATGGCTACCTTTTATTGGACAATGTGAGCAGCCAACATTCCATTTAATTTTTTTTTTTGACAGGTTTGGAAGGGGAAATAGAGACAGTATATCACAATAACTGTTTTCCATACTCGCTTAGGTTTCTGTTATGCTGATTAGAAAACACCGCCGGTTGTTGCTGAAGGTAGCCCACGAGCATCCTAAGCTTGTTAATGATATCCTGTTTTCCTCTGGCACAATTTCATTGCAGGTGCCTTGCTACTCTTATGGGCAGAAGCTATCCAAGTTAGCGATATTACGGATAGCGTGCAACTACATCCTGTCCCTGGCTCAGTTGGCCGAGCTGGACTACAGTCCCGACCGTGGCAGTCAAAGCTTCTCTCAGTGTGTGGAGCAGTGCACTAGGACCCTGCAGGCTGAGGGTCGGAGCAAGAAGAGGAAGGTGAGCCTTTATTCTCACTGTTTGCCTGAGTCTCATGTCCCAGAAATTAAATGTTGGCCTCACTACTCACTTGATACATTTTAATGGCCGTGGGCTCATGATGAGAGGATCAACGCTGTGCCACACACAAACTGGCAACATTGTTGGTTTTTTTTTTTCTGACTGAAGGTAACGTAGTGTCTTAGTCTGATTATTTTGGAAGAATATTGTCAGGTTTCATCATAATATTGATCATTTATGAGACCGGATGAAACCCTTGACTCACTGGCCAGACCTCAGCCCAACAATTTGTGCTCTGGCCTGTTGCCTTCCTGTCCAGGTTTGCAGAATTCCAGCCGTTATGCTGACTCATTCTTTTTTGATGACCACTTGACTGAACTGTAGTGTTGTTGGTGCGTTTCTTTTTTCCTGATACTGTAGTGTCCTCCACTTCTCTCCGATCAGAACAGAAGTCCTTTGTATCGCAGTTTTTTTTTTCTTAACCCTTTCATGCACCAATAATGATAACCTGTAACCTGATAACATGATCAGCTGTTCACTGCAGTAACCGCTGTCCCTGAAAGGGTTAAAGTATGTCGGGATGATCACCCCCTTTGACACAAACACGTGTCCTCCATTTCTTTAAGCCGTATGATTTGGTTCAGTTCAGGTGGTACGCATCTTTATTGATTTCTGTTGAACGGGGTCCCACTTTTCAGTACCCTATTATAAAACTAAATAAATAAATAAAATGAAAAATTCTGTCAGCAAGTATTACACAGCCATGATTAAAGAATCTCATCCTTTAACTCAACCGTGAGGGAGTTGTAGTATGTACGAGGTAACTGTGAAATTCAAACTCTTCCATACCTATCCATTTGCCAGAAACCCTCCAGAATTGTGATTGAGTTCGTTTCATCCTTTCCTTTTTTCCCCCAAAGCCTGGCAAACGTTGAAATGAGTGTGGCGGAGGGGGGGGCTTCTCTCATCCTCTTTAAATATGCTGCAGTTGTGCACAGTAGTTTTGCAAATGAACATTCCACCTCCTCTCTGTTGGTTGTGCTAATAGTTGAAGTCCTCTCAGTGTATTTGGCATTCAGTCAGATTTTCTGACCTAAGTGATAGATTGACACGATCAAAGTTACAACGTGCCAAAGCAAAACTGACTTTTCTGAGTGACCACTTGCTGATACAGGTAGTGGCCTTCTTGTCATTTCACTTGTTTTCATTTACAGTGGAAGCTCTCGGGTAACAGTGGATCAAAATGATCCAGGGTCAACCTCTTGTCATCATGAAACCACTATACAAACCCGAATTGCAACGGCGTTGGAAAGTTGTGTTCAAATCATGTTCAACCTCTATTTAGTTGAATATACTACCAAGACAAAATATTTAATGTTCAAACTGACACACTTTATTGTTTTTAGCAAATAATACTTAACTTCGAATTTTACAGCCGCAACACGTTCCTTAAATGCTGGGATAGGTGGCAAAAAGGACTGAGAAAGTTGAGGAATGCTCATCAAAAACCGGTTACACAGGTGAACAGGCTAACTGGTTCCAAGTGGCTGCCATGAGTGGCTAAGAAAGGGAGCTTCCCCAAATTGCTCAATCATTCACAAGCAAAGATGGGGCGAGGGTCACCTCTTTGTGAACAACTACGTGAGAAAATAGTCAAATAGTTTAATGAGAATATACCTCAATGTACAATTGCAAGAAATTTAGGGATTTCAATCTCTACTATGCAAAATATCATCAAAAGGTTTCGAAAATCTGAAGAAATTGCTACGCGCAGGGCCAAAAACCCAACATTGAATGCCTGTGACCTTCGATCCCTCAGGTGGCACTCCATCAAAAACCGACATCAGTGTGTCAAGGATATCACCACACGGGCTTGGGCATACTTCAGAAAACCAATGTCAGTAAATACAGTTCTGAGCTGCATCTGTAAGTGGAACATAAAACTGTATTATGCAAAGCAAAAGCCATTTATTAATAACACTCAGAAATGCCGGCGGCTTCTCTGAGCCTGAGCTTATCTAGGCTGGACTGATGCAAAGTGGAAAAGTGTTCTGTGGTCTGACGAGTCCATATTTCAAAATGTTTTTTGAAATTGTGGACGTCGTGTCCTCTGGGCCAGAGAGGAAAAGAACGATTTGGATTGTTCTGGACAAATAGTTTCAAAGCCAGCACCTGTGTTGGTATGGTGCTGCGTTCGTGCCAATGGCATGGGTAACTTACTCATATTTGAAGGCACCATTCATGCTGAAAGGTACATACAGATTTTGGAGAAACATATGCGGCCATCCAAGCAACGTCTTTGTTATCAACGCCTCTGCTTATTGCAACAAGACAATGCCAAATCATATTCTGCACGTGTTACAACAGCGTGGCTTCAGAGTAAAAGATTGCGGGTACTCGACTGGCAATCCAGACCTGTCTCCCACTGAAAATGTGTGTCGCATTATAAAGCCTAAAATATTACATCGCAGATCCCGGACTGGTGAACCCATTCTTGCGTGACGCTGTACATCAAGCAAGAATGGGAAAGAATTCCACCTACAAAGCTTCAACAATTACCCCCCTCAGTACCCAAACGTTTATTGAATGTTGTTAAAAGAAAAGGTGATGGAATAGAGTTGCAAACATGACTCTGTCCCAGATTTTTTGGAACGTGTTGCAGCCATAAAATTCTAAGTTCATGATTATTTGCCCCCCAAATTTTTTTTTAACATTTATCAGTCTGAGCATTAAATCTCCCGTCTTTGTAGTGTTTTCAATTAAAGAGAGGTTCAGCAGGATTTGCAATTCATTTTATTCTGTTTTTATTTATTGTTTAGCACAACCTCCCAACTTCATTGGAATCGGGTTGTCAAACATTTCAAGTGCACTCAGAGTTTGACACAAAAACTCGTCTCCCCATTAATTATTGTAATAGCGGAACGGTGGTTAGCACATCGGCCTTACAGTGCAGAGGTTGCAGGGTTCGATTCCGGCTCTGGCCTTCCTGTGTGGGTTTTCTCCGGGTACTCCGGTTTCCTCCCACATTCCAAAAACATGCATGGCAAGATAATGGAACACTCTATACCAGGGGTGTCAAACTCATTTTTGTCGCGGGCCACATTATAATTACCAATTCCCTTGGAGGGCCGTGAATACCGAAACTATATAAAGAAGTCAAGAATAACGTTTGATTCAACGATTGTTTAAGAAACTGTTATGAGAGGTTTGGGAGCAAGAAAATGCTAACAATATGTCACTAATTTATTACATATGAAAATTTGAACTTTTGGTACAGATTTTAGCAAGCATCATGGAAGTTGTCATCTTTGATTTGCTTTCACGGGCCACTCAAAATGATGTGGTGGGCCACACCTGGCCCCCGGGCCTTGATTTTGACACCTGTGCTCTAAACTGTCTCTAGGTGTGGGTGTGAGTGCGGATAGTTGTTCATCTCTGTGTGCCTTGCGATTGGCTGGCAACCGGTTCAGGGTGTCCCCCGCCGACTGCCTGAAGACGGCTGGGATAGCCTCCAGCACCCCCCGCGACCCTTGTGAGGATAAATGAATTAGAAAATGGATGGATAGATAATTATTGGAACACATCCCTACACTGACAACTCGTATTTTTCCATCAGTATTATAATAATATTAATAATACATGAATTTTCTATTTTCATTATGTATTTATTTTATTACTTTGATATAACTTTCTTCAGTAATTGGCCAAGACAAATTACAGTTTTTGCCATCAACTTATGGCATGTACTTGCCATCAAATAGGGAGGGAGTTTTGCCATAAACGGCGGTAACTGTATTTGTACTATTTTAAGTAACATCCTTCACTGTCAAACAAGCAGTGTTGTGAAAGCTACTTAGCAAATGTAGTGAGCTCAGTGACATGATATTCTACATTAAATGTAGCTAGCTAAGATAGCAGCTAAACTACACCAAAGCTGCTTGAGTTGGGTGGAGCCTCTAAAATAAAAGCTACATTGAAAAATGAAAACTGAATTCTAAAATCTTTGGATGATCAGGCTCCTTACTATCACTGAACCGTGTGAACTAAACATATAATGCAAGATCATTTCATTTGTGGTCATCGTTCTTCTTCATCAAATTGACCTTGTTTACATTACCACATTCATTGTTTAAACAGATCACAACAATTTGGAATTGTAGAGAAAATAACCTATCATAATGATTTTGAGTAACATAACCCAGAGTTAGACTTCCATCTTATTGTCATGTCATTTTTCATCCTGCTTCCTGTCCCTTACACACAAACACATGCGTACAGTTTTCTCCTATTGAGGCCGAAAGCATCTTTAACTAACTCAGGCTGGCGATTGTGTTTATTTCTGGATGGATCGAGTTGTTTGTCCGCCATGTTGGAGGTCGAGATCAGAATGAGAACCTGGGCTTGAAACAGAAAGCCCGAAATAGTAACTTATGTTTGTTTTCGTTTGGAAGTCATCACTTAATATCCTTACGTTGACAAGATCTAAGAGAAACTTTGGAAGCAGTGACAAAGACTCGACAACAGTGTGGCCCTCTTAAACAACTACAATAACTACGCCATTCAAATATCTCTCACAGTAAAATTGTGCGCCAAGACGCAAAAATAAAATCAAGACTGTTTGTTTCACTTCGCGGTCCTGACCTGGAACTGTTGACAGCTTTGCTTGCTTTGACTTTGCCTCGCATTAGCGTCAAGGCTAGATAGCGCACAGCATGCTGGGAGTCAGTTGCTATTCCAGTAATCAAAGAACACAACATTTCTGACACGTTTGTACCTTTAAGATAATGAGACAGTACTAATTAGCCGATCTATTTTATAAATCTGTAGTCCTTGGAATAATGAACGAAGTTGTAGACATTGCAGAGTACGTAACATGTTTTGTATCGTTGCAAAGCAGTCAGGTTCACCTTCAACACAGCGTTGAGAACAAACACAGATGTATGGACTGAGTATCTGGTTGGAGTGAGATTAGCTCCGCTGATTTTCGATTGCCCCAATCG